TGCAGGCAGTGTGCTGGGATTGCAGGCAGGGCTCTGGGATTGCAGGCAGGGCTCTGGGGCTGCAGGCAGGGCTCTGGACAGGGCTCTGGGATTGCAGGCAGGGCTCTGGGATTGCAGGCAGGGCTTTGGGGCTGCAGGCAGGGCTCCGGGATTGCAGGCAGGGCTCTGGGATTGCAGACAGGGCTCCGGGATTGCAGGCAGGGCTCCGGAATTGCAGGCAGGATTGTGATGAGGGTTCTGGGATTGCAGGCAGGGCTCTGAGGCTGTGGGCAGGGCTGCAGGCAAAGCTCTGGGATTTCAGGCAGAGCTGCAGGCAGAGCTCTTTGCAGGCAGGGTTTGGGCTATTTGCAGACAAGGGTTTGGGGCTGCAGGCAGGGTTCTCTGCAGGCAGGGCTCTTCGCAGGCAGGGTTTGGGCTCTTTGCAGGCAGGGTTTGGGGCTGCAGGCAGGGTTTGGGGTTTCAGGCAGGGCTCTTTGCAGACAGGGCTGCAGGCAGAGCTCTGGGATTTCAGGCAGAGCTGCAGGCAGAGCTCTTCACAGGCAGGGTTTGGGCTATTTGCAGACAAGGGTTTGGGGCTGCAGGCAGGGTTTGGGGTTGCAGGCAGGGTTTGGGGTTGCAGGCAGGGCTCACTGCAGGCAGGGCTCTTTGCAGGAAGGATTTGAGCTCTTTGCAGACAGGGTTTAGAAGCTGCAGGCAGTGCTCTTTGCAGACAGGGTTTGGGGCTGCAGGCAGGGCTCAGGGGCTGCAGGCAGGTTTGGGCTCTTTGCAGGCAGGTCTGGGCTCTTTGCAAGCAGGGCTCTTTGCAGACAGGGTTTGGGTTCTTTGCAGACAGGGCTCTTTGCAGACAGGGTTTGGGCTCTTTGCAGGCAGGGCTCAGGGGCTGCAGGCAGGGTTTGGGGCTGCAGGCAGGGCTCTTTGCAGACAGGGCTCTTTGCAGGCAGGGTTTGGGCTCTTTGTAGGCAGGGTTTGGGGCTGCAGGCACGGTTTGGGGTTGCAGACAGGGCTTTTTGCAGACAGGGCTTTTTGCAGACAGGGCTCCTGGCAGGCTCGTTCTGCCGAGCCGCTCGGAGCCTCTCCCGCAGCAATGGCTGTAAAAGCCAGTAGGAAGCTGTAAGATAAAACACCCAGATTGTGATAAAAGGGGAAACAAGGCGAGGCGAGCTGGCGTCCTGAATGCGAGTCTTGTACGTCTTATTATCAAGTTAATTAAAGCTAGCATCTGACAATGTCACTCGGCTGTAGAAAAAGGGATTTAAATGCAGCGTCTCCCAGGACTGCGTGTCAAGGGCTGCTTTTCATTGAGCTGGTGCGAGTGTTTGGCTGGAGGAACAGCTCTCCGGATTGAAGGGGGTGCCTTTAAAGAAGCAGCAATTGACAAGGAAGCAATTATTAAATTTTGATGTTCAAAAATAAGGGGGGAAAAAARAAAAAAAAAAAAAAAAGAAAGACGACGGAGAAGAAAACGGCTTCTATAATTTGTGTTTTAGATGGAGAGCAATATAAAGAGATATCAAGGCCGAGAGCCATCAAAAGCCTTCCCCCCTCCCCGCATGAAAGCTCCTCTCAAACACTTTAAGAGAGATTTTTAGAAGCTCGACAAGGATCCTAGAAACATTAAAACAGAAGTCGATTTTAAATGTGCACATTGAAATGCACAGAGCCGCTTACTACGTGGACTTGCACTTGAGGTCAAGTGACGGACGGATTGTATGCTTCTCCATAATAATATTAATTAAACAATTTGCATGCTAATAAGGTAACAATTATCAGGGCTTCTGTTGAAAGATTCAGGTTATTACAACACGCCAATCTGGAGGCCAGGGGTCAGGGAGTGAGAGGCGAGAGAAATTTCAACTCAAATTAACATTCTGTCAGCTCCAGAAAATGGGATAAATAAAGTCGAATTAATTCATTATAATAAAGAGAGGGAGAGAGAGAAAAGTCCCCCCTCTCTTGTTCTGTGCTGGATTGATTACCATTCTGTATTCAGAAACACGTCCCGCTCGCATTCCTCTCCTGAAATCCGACAGAAAATGAGGCATTTATTGCTACAGGCAAAATTTGGTCCAGTGGACACAGTTTACATTTAGTATTTATAGAGAAAGAAATTAAATTATGGTGAAAAGTGAAGCCCTTGACCCCAGAATTAATACCAACCCCATCATTTTCTTATTTCTGTTAGAGCTGTGCAGTCCAAATTCAAGCTACCTTTTAGCTCTGAGCAGAGGCAGGGAGACCATAATTAAACTAATCTATAGGGGGGAGGGAGGGAACAGCAATAATACAGCAGTATATTGTATGGCATTCAATTAGGTGAATAAATACAGCTCCGGACAGACAGCACAGATTAGAGACTCGACTTCCTTTTTATTTCAATTTTAACTTGCCCCTCTCTCGTACCCACACAAACCAGCGCTGGGAAATGTATCATCTTGACTGGATATTTTATAACTGGAAAATCTATTTGTATGTTTTCCAGAGATAAAGTCTCTCTCCCTCTTTCCCCTTCCCCTCTCTCTCCTTTTTTTCCTTCCTACCTATTTTTATTTCTTTCCCTTTCTCACCCCACCGTGGCCGCCCCCCGACTCCAAGGATTTAATTCCGCASGAACCTCCCGTGAAGATTTTTAAAGAGTTTTCCCTGTCTGGTTTCCCGGCCCGGCTCTTTCGCTCTCCTCTTTGTTAAACGCAAACGCTCCCTCTCCCCTCTTTCCACCTTTCCAGGGATCGCCAGGTTGAGTCCCCCCGGCCCAGGGGACCGGGAGCTCCGGTCCCAGCGGGCTCGGGATGGGAGAGACTGGGAATTATCCCGCTCTTCCTCTCTCCTGGGAGCTCGGGAAGTGTTTCTCTAACCGGGAGAGGGCACAAAACTGGGGGTCCCCAGCCCCGCGCTTTGCCGGAGAACCGTCCCTTGAATTATTCACCGGGGGAATCTATCAATGTTTCATCTGGGTGAAAACTTCTATGGAGACGTAATTTAATTAGGACAAATTTGGCGGCTGTTTGGGAGCTGTGAATGACTGGCGGGACGAAGCGTGGAGTATGCGATGGGCTACTCCAGCGGGGGAGGAGGGGAAGMTGAAATGGGAGGGATGTAAGGACGGGAACTTTGTTTGGGTTTGAATTTTTAAAAATTATTATTAGTGGTAGTTTTTTGCCTCCTCTTTGGCGATCAGAGGCTGCTTCTGGTTGTGCCTCCGCTCACAATTCAAAGGTTGTGGTTACTGCTGGAGAGGGGGGTGTCCGTGGCCAAATCGATAGGAGATTGCATTAATTATGATTTCGATTGATATGCTCAAATCTCCTCCTAAACGCTGCAAACGGCTCTTCCTTTTTTATTTTTTTTTACCCCTTCCTTTCCTTCCCCCTCTACCCCCCATTTTTTCCCGCTGCCCCCCTCCCCTCTCCCCTGTTATAGAGCCRGAGAGGAGATGAAAAGGCTTGTAGTTTTAAATTCAATGTGACAGCTCTGGAAAGAGCGGATGATGAATCTCCTATTATTGGATCAGTCTATTTGCCGCTCAATGTCTCTCTGTAATTGGAGCAACATCACTTTAAAGGTTCAGAGAGTAGAGCATTTCTGGTGAAAAATCCCCACAACACGCTGGTGAATGTTTTAAAGGGAAATCTATTAGTGATTTGGCGAGGGGAGGGGACAAGGGGGAAGAGGGTGGGTTGGAGGGCTGGGGGGGGAGGCTGTGTGTGTGTGTGTAACTCCGACTGTTTAGTATTTAACCGGGTATCAGGCAGATCCGAGCGTTCCCCTCCGCCCCCCTCCCCGCCGCACCCCCCTGGCTGGAGTTCGTATCAAAGCCCCCCTCGTCGTGTTGTGACAGCTCTGATATTGTTTATTGAGGCTGGATGTCAGGTATAATTAGCAATCGATATGGAAAACGTTTGCTCCCCACACTGGCACGTCTCTGACGTCAGGACCGATTAACGTTTCTTATTGGTCCCAAATTCCCCCAGCCTGAGCTAATTATTGGGAGCCTGATGTTGATAAAGTTAAAGCGCCCGGCGCCCTGCAGCATGAGCCCCTCGCCGCGCCGCCTCCTCCGCCAGCAGCACCCCCGGCCCCAGCCGCCCCGCCGCCAGCGCCCCCAGCCCCGCCGGCACCCCCCGCCCTAGAGCCGCCCCCATGATGGACAGCCGCATCCTGGAGCATCCTCATGCCCAGTTCGGGGGGATGGTGGGCTTCCCTTACCCGCTCGGGCACCACCACGTCTACGAGCTGGCCGGGCACCAGCTGCAGTCGGCGGCCGCCTCCGTGCCCTTCTCCATCGATGGATTACTGAGCGGCTCCTGCGCCGCCTCTGTGGTCAACCCGGCGCCGCTCATCCCCTCCGGCTGCGGGGTGAGCGGGGACAGCCAGCCCTTCAAGCTCGCAGGTAGGAGCGGCCCCGTGTCGCGTGTGTCCCCCCGCCCCCGCACCGCGCGACCCGCCCGGAGCGTGTCAGCGCCGAGGAAGAAAAGCACCGCGGGCCCGTGGCCYCTCTATCCTCATCTGCGAATTTTGGGGTGTCTCGGGGGGGAGGRTAGGCGGCTGTGGTGGCCCCCCGAGGGGGCGGACGGCCCCGGTCCCAGCGCCGGGAGCATTTTCCGTTCCCATCGGCGCAGGGCCACGCGTGTGCCCTGAACAATAGCGGGCCCGGCCCGGTGCCTTCCCCTAAAGTTCATCGTGTGGGAGCTCGGATCACACCTTTAACAGATAATAATAAAAATAATAATTGGAATCACTGGAATTCGGGGGATGAAGAGCTGCAATAAATATTTTTTATACGATTTAGCCAAAGGGAATCGCTCTCCGTCCTTCCCTCTCCACCGGCCTGTGGCACCGCTATTGTTCAGCTCTTAAAACATTCTGTCTCCCCAACATCCTTCTGTTTAAACCTGGAGCTGCCCCACACTGCACCTCAACTAAATACAAATTATTACTATTATTATTATTATTTTTCCTAATTTCCACACCTGGCGGAAAACCTTAGGGGAGGTGCAGCCAGGGCTGAAAATCKCCAGCCTGGAGCTGTACGTACTCAAAGAGGCTGCGAACATCCCAGCCCCACGATCGGGCCCAGGGGCCGCCCTGTGCTCGGGGTCCCGCGTGGAACGGGGCCGTGATCTGTGACCCCCGCAGGTGCTCCGGAGGGGCTGGGGAAGGGAAAGAGGGGGGACTTTTAATTTTTTTTTTTTTTTTTTTAATTAAACCTTTGGTGGTTGGAGCAAATATTGGAACTTCTCTCTCTCTCTCTGCCAGCTGAGTGCCTGTGGAGAGCTTCCTTCAGGAATAAATGTTCTGTAAAGTACATTTTCGGAGGAGGCGAGGGCAGATCGGGTTCCTCCCCATTTTTAGCGCAGGTGTGTGAATAATCCCGCTCTTTTACCAACGCTACCGAGCACAAAAGTTAAAAGGCTCCTGTGAATGGCAGGGAGGGGGGGAGAAGGCTTGTCTCCCAGGGACCTGAAGGTATTTCTGCTTTTTCAGACTCGGGTGACCCGGACAAGGAAAGTCCTGGCTGTAAAAGAAGACGAACCCGCACCAATTTTACTGGCTGGCAGCTCGAGGAGCTGGAAAAGGCGTTTAATGAGAGTCATTACCCGGACGTGTTTATGCGAGAGGCTCTGGCTCTCAGGCTAGACTTGGTGGAGTCCAGAGTGCAGGTAAAAAACGTGTCCCCCCTCCTTTCTCCCCCCTCACCCTCTCCATGCGCCGACCACTCCCCAGGGAGGACCCTCAGGCCCGCAGACCCTCTCCGGGACGGGCTCTGTGCACTTGGGCCGCAGCCCCGAGCCTCCCGGCCCTTTTGTTCCCTGCCTTGCACTACTGCTTGCTGGTTTATTTTGTCATTATCATTATTATTACTATCCTATTTTTAAAAATCTTGCAAAACGAGAAGAGTGGCAACCCAGCCTGGGTTCCCTAAACATTCTTTTTTTTTAGTATGTTTTCCCGCTGTAAATATTTTTCTTAAATGAGTCAAGGGCGAGAAAATTAGCATGCAAATATGAGGCTTAATCACGGGCCGGGGTATGCTGAAGAATGTCAATAAAGCTCGTAGCTGCATCGAGAGCGATTGGAACTTGTAAAACTTAATTTTAACGAGCTGCTCAGGCCCTTGGCGGTGCGGGATGGGGAGGGGAAGCACCGATCTGCTTCGATGGATCTTCCAAAAAATAAATGGGAAGCGGACGGGGGGATGCGGGCCGGCTGTTGGGTCTCCGGGTGCTGGTTTGTGCCGCGGTGGCTGCGAGCGGGCGAGGCCGAGCTGCGGCCCCGCATCTTGCCGGGACCCGCTGCCGTGCTGRGGCGGCTTTGAGTGGGCTGCGTGTGCGGGGAATGCGTCCTTAAACCCACCCCGGGAGCCGGGGACGGTTCCCCCGGCATGAGGCAGCGCCGTTGGCCGCGGTTCCTCCGCAGATTTGCTTCCCGGTGTCCTCCCAGCCGCTTTCCCTCCGTCTCGCCGGGCTCGGGCAGCGTGCGGAGCCGGGCTCGGGCACCGCTGTTCCTGCGGTTCTTCCGAGCTGGGGTCGCGGTCCTGCCGGGACGGGCGCTCCAGCAGCCCCCTGGGCCGCGGGGGCGCGGAGGGACGCGTGTGCCCGCGGGCTGCGGGGACGCCGGGGACCTGCCAAAGCACGGAGAAGCAGGGTCGGAGCAGAGAGGTTTCRATTTAATTTAATTTCTCTCCTGTGAGCAAGCTGTAACAAACCAAACCGCAATTTGGGCTCATCCAGCCTCTCTGCTCCGTCTCCCGGGAGGGGCAGGAGCTCCGAGCTCCGCACGTCTGGGCGAGGCACTGTCCGGCACCCCCTCAGCTCCAGCCGCTTATTGTGCTGTGTTTATYGCATTTTGGGTGCTGCTGCGGGGGAATCGGGCCGGCGATCGGTGTTTCTGCACCCTTCGGCCGCGGGGAAGAGCCGGGGCCTGTGTGAACCCTTCCCCTCCCGGTGGCGCCGGTGCGGGCAGGGTGCAGCGTGTGTGTGCGTGAGTGTGCACCCCCTTTTTCCTTTTTTTCGTTTTCCTACCCTGTTAAACAAGTGTGGATATCTCTTCGTGCCCCCTCCCCTGCTCTCCGTCTCTCAGAGGCCCGGTYCTGAGGATCGGGGCTGCCGGCACCTCGAAGGGGTGGACGAGGGAGGCCTGAGCTGCGCTTCTCCCCTCCGCCCCCCTCCCACCGCCCCGGCCACCGCGGAGGGCCGGTGCGCTGGGTGTTAATTGCTTCTCGTTGTTCGGTGTGTAGGTCTGGTTCCAAAACCGCCGGGCCAAATGGAGAAAGAAAGAGAACACCAAGAAGGGCCCGGGGCGGCCGGCTCACAACTCGCACCCCACGACGTGCAGCGGGGAGCCCATGGACCCCGAGGAAATCGCCCGGAAGGAGCTGGAGAAGATGGAGAAGAAGAAGAGAAAGCACGAGAAGAAGCTGCTCAAAAGCCAAAGCCGCCACCCGCACTCGCCCAGCGCCCTCTCCCTCCACAGCACGCCCAGCTCCGACAGCGACAGCGGCGGCGGGGGGGGTCTCTCGCCCGCCCCGCCTGAGGCCAAACCCCGCGGGCAGCCCCCGCCGCCCCATCCGCCGCTCCCCGCCGCCGCMGCCCCCTCCGAGCCGCCCCCCGGCACCTGCGACCAGACGGCCGAGCCCTTCTACCCCAGCCAAAGAAGCGGGAGCGGGCGGCTCCAGCGCCCGCCCGACAAGGACTGCGCGGCCGCCCCGTCGGGGGACGGCAGCGGGGGCGCGGGGGGGCCCCGMGGCGCCGGCAGCTTCCACAAGCTCAACCCGTTCAGCGTGGAGAGCCTCCTCTCCGACTCGCCCCCCCGCCGCAAAGCCGCCCCGGACTTCCCCAGCCTGCCCCCCTGCGCCCCCCGCACCCTCATCGGCAAAGGACACTTCTTGCTCTACCCCATCACCCAACCCCT